GGCGAGGGGTGGCGGTGGCGGCAGCGCTGCACCAACCCTCGGGTGTGGCAAGTGGCCCTGACCAGATGTGCAAGAGGAGCAGGGCGGCCGCGCCAGGCGCCTTGGGGACGGCGGCTCCGCGATGACAGGTGCCTGCTGTCTGGCACAGGCTGTGCCGGAACCCTCAGCCAGTTGTCTAATGGGCTCAGGCGCTCAGCAATGACCCGACGGGAGTCATTGTCAACCTGTCATCCAGGAGATGGCCCAGTATGTGGCAGGCAAAGTGGGCGGCCATTAGAGTAATGGCCGTGGAGCAGAAAGCATCATTTCGCTCAGCACAGTGAGGGGGCCCACCTCCCCTCGGAAGACAGTCAGCTCATCATCGCCAGGAACAGCCCCCCGAGCTGTCAGAGAGCCAGGGTCCAGCGGAGTTGCTGGGGGAGACTCTTGGCTGCGGGAGCCCACCACGCCCTCACCGAGGAGGGGCACCTGGAGCCCCCTGCTGTGTCCAGAGGGCTCAGTGGTGCGGGGTGCTAGGGTTGCAGCAGTGGAACTGGCTGGGAGGCCGTGGTCTCATGGAGAGGCCAGTCTAGTGGGGAGACCGACTCAAAACAGCGGACCATACCAGAGGGCCCCGATGCTCCGTGAGAAGGAGGGGCGTGACCTGCCAGGTGTACAGCACCGGGCAGGTGCAGAGCAGGGCTGGGTAAGTCCCAGAAGAGGGGCTCCCGCAGGTGCTGTGGCTGGTCATGAGGCGCCGTTCAGCCAGTCCCGACTAGTAGCGACGACAGGAGACCCCGCCCGCCTCTTGCCCTCCTGGCTGTTAGGTTTGAGCCCATCCACGCAGCCACTGTGCCCTCCATCCTGCCGAAGCGCTGCCTGTTCCCACTGCTTCACCACACCCGATGCCCTGCCTCAGGAACAGGTCGCTCCTGACAACACGTCCAAAGGACGTGAGACCACGCCTCTCCATCCTCCCTTCCAGGGAGCCTACCGACAGCACCTCTTCCAAGACAGGCTGGCTTGCTCAGTGGGCTCTGCGTGGTACTTCCGACATTCGACTTCATCCCCACAACTGGAAGGCATCGGCTCTTCTCCGGGCTTCCTTTCTCAACGCCCACCTTTCACAAGCACGGGAGTGGCCGAAACTATCTTGGCTCGGGTCGCAAACAACTTGGTCTCCGAAGTAACAGCCTTGCTTGGCAATGCTTTAGAGAAGTCCTGTGCGGCAGACCCACCCAGTGCGTCATGTGAGCTCTGGCCCGCTGCTCCCAGGAGCACCGAAGGTGGATCCAAAGAAAACAGGATCCTTGGCAGCTTCCGTCTTTTCTCTACCGGGTCATGGTGTGACCTGGTGGTCCAGCTGCGAGGAGTGTGGTCTTCTTGGCATGGAGTCGCCATCCACACCGGAGGCTGCGGTCCCTGATCCTCATCAGCAGGTGCTTCAAGTCCTCCTCGCTGTCAGTGAGCACGGGCGTGTCATCCGCCTGTCGCAGGGGCTCAATGAGCCTTCCTCCGATCCAGAGCCCCCATGCCTCTCCCTGTCATGTTGCTTCTCTGGGGACTTGCTCTGCATACAGATCGGACAAGCAGGGAGAGGGCACAGCTTCGGCACCCACCTCCTCTGACTTTTAAACCATGCGTGTTCCCTTGTGTTTGCACAGCTGCCTCCCGGTCCGTGTCGGGTTCCACGTGGGCACAATGTGATATTCATGACATTGTCCACACATCACGCCGGGAGAGAATTTCAGAACGAGGGACTCCCGATTTCACCCTGAGAAAACCGGAGGGCCGAGGGCTATGGGCGGCTGGCCACCACTGGCCACTTGAGGCCGTGGGGCATTTGACATCTGGCCAGCCCAAGTTGGGATGTGCTGGGAGTCTAGCACACACTCCCGACTCCAGAGACCTGGTTCCAGGGAAAGCATGCAGACCATCTCACAGGTGCATTTTCACAGCGAGTGCGTCAACTAGAGGCTGTAATCGATGGGGTTGGATAAACTATGTTACCCAGCATCACAATAGAAGAGGCATGGAAGTAGCTAGTCCACTAGCCAAGGCACCATGGAACATCAATCAGGCACCACAACCCTGAGACCCTAACAACTAGGTGGTGCCCGGCTCCCACTGCCAACCGCTCTGGAAAGGCATCCGTGAGAGGGGCCTGGGGACAGGGAAGAAGACGGTGGACCGAAACTCAAAATCATCTTTGAAAAGACCAAGGCGATTGGTAGGATGCTGATGGGAGAGCCCCTGAGACTAGGGTCCCCGGTCACCTTTCAGGTCTGGAAGTGAATTCCTCCCCTTGGCTTGATTTCCAGCCAAGCAATGTTAGGTGCCATCGAGTCAGCTCTGACTCACAGCGGCCCCGCACACAGCAGAAGGGAGCCCCCTCCCCACGCCATCCGCACCACTGGCAAACGATAGATGGGCCTCTCAAAGAAAGAGTCGCCCGTCATCTGAGATCCAAAGGGAAGCTTCAGAGTGGGGAGGGAAGAAGGAAGAACCCCTTACATTACAGTGGAGTCAGATGGGCCCCCAAAGGAGTCCTGGTGTCGCCGTGGGACTGGGAACCAAGAGGTCAGCAGTTCGAAACCACCAGCCGCTCTGTGGGAGAAAGGCGAGGCTTCCTGCCCCATAGAGATTCCCAGCCTGGGAAAGCCACAGGGGCAGTTCTACCCTGTCCCGCAGGGCGGCTGTGTGTGGGAGCCGGCTTGGCGGCTGTGAGCTTGGTGGAGGGGGTGGGTGGGTCCCAGTTCTAATCTTTTCTGAAGGGGGTGCTGACAGATGCCTAGTCCCGCACACAGAAACCCTGGACGTGAAGGACCAAGGACACATCACAGCCAGCGTCACCTCCCTTTTCTCAGTAATAATGCCATCATGGGGAGGTGGGTGCGTAGGGTCCCCGCTCTGCTATCAGCCCATCTCACCCACAGTCGCTCCGGCTGACATGACCCTGGCTGTCCGGCCCCCTGCAATTTGAACCAGCCCTTTCACCTGTGAGTCTCCCCACCTGGGGTGGACAGGTAAATTCTCAGCCAAAGGGTCGAACTGGAATGAACCAACTTAAAGCCTTGATTTGAGCAACCTTTAACAGAAGACCCCCAAATAATGCGGACTTGGTGGCGTGGGGGGAACACATTGAGCTGCGATCCACGTGATCGGCAGTTCCAAACCACCAGCAGCTCCGAGGGAGAAAGACCCAGCTCTCTACCGCGGCAAAGAGTCGCAGTCTCAGAAACCCCCAGGGCCTCACTGAGCCGGCATGGCGCCTATGGCTTCTTCATCTCCCGTGCTAGCTACAATGCCATGTGGGGGGACCCAGATTTCTTTGGTCTTGCGACTGGCTCTTTGCAGCCACAGTGGTGCAAAATGTCTGCTCACCTCCAGCCCACCACCCCCTTCCAGGCAATGACAAAGGAGGAAGGGAAAAGGACAAGAGGGGGCTCTCCCCAAATGAGCGGCGTTTCTGGGAGATTCCTCAGCCATGCTGTCTTGACCAGCACCCCACCCCAGCTCTGGTTGATTTCAACTTCTAGGGAGCCTGTAGGACAGAAGTAGGGGCCCTGGGGGCATCCTGGTTACCCATTGGGCCGTAACCCCCAGGTGAGCAGTCGAACCACCAGCCAATCCGCAGGAGAAAGACGACGTTTTCTGTCCCCGTAAAGCGTTACGGTCTCAGAAACCCACATGGCAGTTCTACTCAGTCCTAGCGGCTCTCTCTCCGTGGCAGTGGTTTTGAGTCGCCGGACCAAGGGTTTCCAAGGCTGGAATCTGTACGGAAGCCGGCTGCTTTCTCCCACGGAGCAGCTGGCTGGTGGATTCAAGTCAGCAACCTTTCCATCAGCAGCCCCATGGTTAGCCCATCCTGCTGGGAGGAGCCTGTGGGTCGTTGTGTGGGGGTGGCGTGCCCCCTGCATCCGCAGCTTGGGCGTGGCAGACAGAGCTCAGGTGGTGGGGGTGACTGCTGACACGAACCCCAGGCAGTGATGGCGTGGAGTGGAAAGGTAGGGGGCACTTGAGGGAAGAGGATTCCAGGCTGCCCTTTCTCACCGAGTACGGTGTCACCAGCCCCCTCACAAGGTGACACACTCGGTTCCCACGTCCACCTTGTGCCCCTTCGGTCGCTACCTGCCACTGCCCCCAGCCCCCAGCAGGGCATCGACGTTTTTCAAGTTCATGTGAATGGAGTCTCACACACATTTCTCACCGGGTGTAGCTTGGTCCTCTCAACAAGGTCCCCGGGGGTCCCCTCCCTGCACCCGCCCATCTCCCCACGTCCCTGTCATCTAGAATCAGATCCAACTCCACTGCCACCCTCTGAGCTCCGGCTTCCTGTCGGCCAGATGGTGACAGTGCCCACCAGCTGGTCCCAGCCCCGGGACAGTGAACAGTTCTCTCGTCTGACATCCTGGGGAGCACGCTGAATTCGGGGAGGGCTGGCTCCCGACTTGGTTAATCATCTCAGCATCAGGATTGATGAGGGTACCAGCCGTCCGTAAGGCCCCCGGCCAGCTGCCCGCTCTGCCCAGCAGCTCCCGCCAGCGGGTGTCTGTGGCCCGTGGGAGGGAGGGGTGGGGGAATGCAGGTTCCAGGAGAAGCTTCCCACCACCTGCAGTTCCTGGGCAGGTCAAACAGGGGAAGGTCGGAGGTTCCATGGCATATCACATAGGGGCACATGAGCCGGCTCTGACAGTGAGCAGACGAGACACAAGGGCACAAGGCAACAGCGGAGGCTCCCTACGCCACACCCTGCTCGCCATGGTCCCCATGTTTCAGGTCCGGGTTGTGTCAAGCTGTCCTGTCGGGGGTCTTTCCAGGTTTTGTCTGTCCCCCTGTCTTTCCAAGCAGAAGGCCCTTCTCGGGGGACCAGTCCCTCCCGGACGACGGGTCCGGAACGGCGAGCTCTCTGGCTGTTCTTCCAAATCAGATCTGTTTGTGTCCCGGCTGGCCCGTGGTGCCTGGGACATCCTTCCACGCCAGCTACCGTCCACGGCGTTCTCTTTGAAAAGACGCCGACACGCGTGGAACGGAGTGCAACCTCACCCAAGTCGTATCCTTTTTGAAAAGAAAAGGTTTTTTAAGACAGGCATGCGGCTCCACAGTGCATGTTGGTGGAAACAGCTGCCGCAGGCAGCCCCATGGCTCCACGGGTCTCTGCAGGCGTTTGCTGGGGACCTTTTTGCTGTCAGCGGGGTGAGGGCTTACAGAGCAAGCCGTCTGCCATTCACACGCGCCCTCCTCGCTCTCTGGGTTTCCTCCTGTCACACCCCGCCCCCCTTTCCTAACCCTCATTCTGCAACAAGGGTTTGAAAAAAGATCATAAAATAATCCAAGTCCGTTTCAACTCTGCTTCTCCGCCTCTTAGAACAGCGGTTCCCAACCTGTGGGTCAAACGACCCTTTCCCAGCGGCCGCTCGATTCATCACAGTAGCAAAATGCCAGTGATGAGCTGTATGAAAGGGCCGCGGCGGAGGCGGCGGCGGCATGAGGAAGGTTGAGAACCACCGTCCTAGCACCTCTCAGGTCCGTGTTCAGATCTGCTGGGGAGGGATCTGGATGGGACTCTTCTCTCTGAAGTGAACAAACTTACGTATTTAAATTTTACATGCAAACCCATGGATTTCTTGATGTTTGCTTTTTCGCCTTTGTGTGTGAAGTGTCACATACACACAGCATGTGCTCTACCCCCCTGCGCAGCCCGTCACGTCCACTAACCGCCCATGCAGGTGGCCTCCCATCCCCCACCCC